TGGCATTGTGGTGTACTGTGTTGTCTCTGTTTTCTGTATCACATGTGGTATGGCAAACCCCTCATAATTTTATTTATAAATGGACTCTCAGCCCTGAATACTCAGCTGGACTTGATCAAGCTGTATTCTTTCTGTTTTAAGAATAATCCAGTTTTTTATGGTAGAATTATGCTTATGATATCTGTGCAACATCATTGTCTTTAGTGGATTTTCACAGGTGTAACTTCTTGAAATTGATAAACCATGCTGATGTACAAAGAGAGAATATAATTGTTGATTCACATGCCCTCAGCTGTTGGCTCAGCAGTGCAAACAGGAATAATAAGCACTAAAACTTTTGTCACTTAAGCAAGCACATATGACTGTGTAAAAGGTAAATACGTTGAATAAGATGATGCCATTTTTACATACCCATTTTTCAAATTAGAACTATATGTAGAAATGTTTGCCATTTATCTTTACATATAAAAATCTTCCTTATATGGTATTCAAATACCAAGAGTCTTGTCCCCACCCTCTTTTAAATAAATAAATAAACAAATAAATAAAAAGCTAGCCACACTGGCTCTTTACCTCTTGGCTCAGACAGCAAACCAGATTCCCTCCTGTTAGCCTGAAGAAGCAATGATATAGCTACTACTCTCCATTGTTATGGGGCAGGGCAGCTATTGTCTTAAGTACTGAGCATGGGGCTGATCATCTGTGTTTTATTTCTGATTCTACAGCTGGCAAATCTATCTGCTTCAGTTCCACCATGTGGTTATCGTCATTAAAGTAGACATTCTCTTACTATTTAGACAAAGATTAATGAGCATATTTAGCCTCTTCTCCTAATGTCAACAATCCCGATAAGGCTTAGCATAGAATTTTGTAAAGATGTGCTAGTACCAAAAGTGTTCAAAACAAAAAGTGTGCAAAACAATAATCCTACTTTGCACCTATATAACGTCTTTCACTTGTATCTTGTAGCCATAATAAAGTTTTTGCTATTTGTATAATATATAATTGGAATCCTAGCTCCAGAATTCTGAACAAACTGTAAGATGTAGAGCAGTCCTGTTTGAATCTTTGAATCCTAGTCTTTTTGTCCTAACGTGACATAACTAATTTCTTCTGGATAAAAAAATACAGGAAATAACAATTAGATGCAGGCATTGCCACCATGACAGAGTATGCATAGGTAGCAGATTTGAGTAAGACTATGCTATTTTTAGTCACATCTCTGGGCATGACTGCCCTTTAAAGAGACTGGCGTATCAGAGCATTTTTAAAATAAATACAAAAACAATTAATCTTCATAGAAAATGCCTAGTTCTGCTCCCACTGAAATCATTGTGTTTTTCTCACAAACTCCAGTGAGACTCTGGGCCCAATGTTTTGGAATGGTGACTTTCCCAAGTGGTACCTTCTGTGAAGTGTTAATCCTGTATTTATGATGCCTTCTTTCTACACTGAAGGTGTGATCCCACAAATTCAGTACTGTGGGAACAAGTACTGTAGAGGAAGTGGGTTATGCGGGAAATCACATTTCAGTAAACACAAAAACAATTGCCTTTTGTCAATTAGCAAAACTATCAAGGGCCACTATGGGGAGAAATTCAAGATAGCTGAAATAGAGCAATCAAAATCTGCCTCAGCTGAGACTTTGTATGCGGTGTATCAGCCTGCTGATAAAAGCATCTAAAAGATAAGCACAAGGCTCATGGTACCAGCTGAAATATACAGATAATATAAAATACATCTAGAACCAGAGGGCTTACCTCTTTGCTGTAGACTTGAGGACAGAGACAGCAATCCAGTTATAATTAAGACCAATGTTTTCATTGTTCCAAGTTAAATCCAGTTGGAAAAATAATGCCTCTTTAATTCAGTTGAAAAGGTTTTTAAATCCACATTTTTGCGTAAAAGACCTTGGGGTTTTAGGTCTGCCATCCAGAAGCATTCTGTGTGTACAGGATTTATAGAAACTAACTAGTTTGTTCTTTCTCTAGTACAGCAATAGGGTGTGACATCTGAATGTGTAAATACACATGACTCAGTTTCAACCTCTGGCTGATATGGAAGAGATTACATTGCTTTAACTTCTGTAATTTAACTCCTAATTTACCATGAACATGAAGAATTTTTTAGTCTTTCTGTACTTTGTTGGAATTTGTACATAAAAAATTCAGAAGAAAATATTTTCTGCTTAGAATATTCACAGAAAGTGTTTGACATCTCGAGTCCCCAATCAAAGATCAGAGCCCCGTTGTGCTAATATGTACAAATATGTAGTAAAAAGAAAGTCCATGCCCTAAAGGCTTACAAACTTGATTAATTCCAAGAGGAAACGAATGCATGGTGTTGGCGGGGCTGGGGAAGGGAGGATGAGGTAACAATGATACAAGCATGTTTCACACAGACTAGCTGGGCTCTGCTCTAGCGTGTCAGCTGCCTATCAGTTATCAAGTGACAGTGGTCTGTAGGCTGTCTGTCCTGTCCCGTCTGCTTTGTTTAAACAGTTCCTATCCCTGACCAGTCTACATCTTTAGGAAATGTTACACAAATTATTTTTTAAAGCTTCCTACGTATCACATGATGAGTGACTAGCTTCCAGCAGGCAACTTCAAAATGCTGGACAACACCACTGGCTTCCAACTTACTGGTAAGATTAGAATAACAAATTATTACCTGGCCCAAGAGCCGTATGCTTACCAGTACTATAATAATTCTGGAAAAAATCTGAGATCCTGGGGAGTTAAAATATTTCATGCCTCACTCCCCAATCCCAAGGTTCCAGCTGAAGTTTAGTGACTCACCCTTTTAATACTCTGAACAATGTAATTTTGATTTGCAATAGCTGCAACATACACCTCACGATGAGTCTGAGATATAGTTGATTCTGATCATACTTGTAAGGCATTTCTGTTCTGAAATCTTTGTCCTCATGCATAGCTTGTGCCTAACTTGACAGTTTGGTAGGAAGTGAAATGTATTTTGAGTTTTAATTAAAAGTTTATTGTTTAGATGGAAGATCTTTGAACCGGATGCCAGAATTAAAATATTCTGAGACTAATGTGAGCCTGTCGTATTGTAGTTTTATAAGAAAATAAGCAAACAGTAATGCATTCTGGAAGCTTACAGTTGTTTCCTCTGTAAATCCTCATAGCAAACTTGGGGAGGAGAGGGAGAGAGAAAAATTACACTAACTTAAAAATAGGAGTTGACTTTTTGTTCCTGGTATTTAAGGCTCAAAAGTGTGGGGAAAAGTGACCTGAAATGCAAATTGTGTTCACAAATGCTTTTTCTACATCAATTTGTACTCTTCCCCACTGTTCTAATCGGGATCAAATGCAGTTTACTATAAGAAAATTCATGTGTAAATGCTGATCAAAAACATACATGTGTTGTGCATGGATAAATACATTCTAGTCACACTTACCACACAAATATCTGTTCCACTTTTCTAATGAAAGAGCTTTTACACATCCTCTCTCCTCTCATTACCATTACATCTGCAAAGTACAGATTCATTTGGGTTTTGGCCTGAAATAAAATAAGTTAAAACACTGAGATCCACCATCAAGCTGGTTGACCACACGTGACTAGGCTAACTTAGCATTCCACTCCTATGTGACATCTTCCTAACTTTCATTTTTTGTAGGCATGTATTTATACAATTTTGTATCTTTGCTAAAGTGACATTTATGGGTTTCATAATCTAATGTAACGCCTGTACTTTTGTCTTTCTCTATAGAAAGTCTCCCTGTGTTACATGAAATTTTTTCAATTTCTTATTTGCAGTTACCATTTATATCTTCATTAAGCAATGGAAGCTTTTTACTTCTACAGTTGAGAGGTTGACTGTCCTCCCAGCCAACTGCTGACACTGTAACATTGCTTTCCAGCTAGTTGTTAATGGGTGTGGACTTTGATTCCTGAACACTGAATGAGACCATTTTAGTACCTCCTAAATCAGTCTTCCCTCCGATAGCATCTAGCATTTTTAAGTTGGTTTTTGGCAGCAGTGTCCTCTGGCTTTACTTCTTTTCTGATATTCCAGGCATTAATTTAAGATTTGCATGCTAGAAATTGTGCCATTCTTTGAGATTGGGGGTGGAAAACAAAATCCCAAATTTCTGGTGCACAGTTATTTCAGTGATGAATGCACTAGAAACACCTTAATTGAGCTTAACTTCAGTCTGACCTTGCTAGGGTCTCTTCTTTTGTGCTCACAATTCTGCATATTAAATCATGCCTGCAGTTATTTACTTCAGTTTGTCTGTATATTTAGGCACTTAAACCTCCAAATGCCTTATTTTGGACTGCAAATTGGGGGCACACACAAGAAGCTGTTTTTGGCTTGTATTACGTATGAGGTAAAATTCAATAATCGGTAGTTATCCAATAAAAATAACACCTGCCTTGGTATGTACTTCATGATTTAAAAAATCAAGGAATTAAAGCAATCATTGCATTACTAAATCTGAGCTATCTTTCTGTGTGAAAGTTCATACTGATACTTTTGATGTCTTTTTACTTGTCTGTACATATGCATGATTTCCAATGAAGAGCTTTGAAAGAAAAGTTAACTGTTTGTAACCTTCTATTGGATTTATGCTATTCCTTGAGGAATCATATTGCTATCTGAATGCTCCTTTTCCTTTGTTTACTTGTGAATTATGGAAATTGAACTGTCGCTAAATTAACTCTGTTCAGAAATCTACATCTGTCTTCAGTAGAATAAACCTACTATCCAAGCTTTCACATGTTAAATGGAATTTTGCATTTTGGTGAACATACACTTACTGTGCTGAAGAAGAGTATGTTATCTAAATGTTAGCTTTTTTTCTGCGATTTTTATTTGTTCATTGCTAGGTTCATATAGTCAAATTAGGTTTAGTGTCATCAGGCTTTCAGAAGGGCTTTCTGTCCACTGAAGCTTTAATAATGTGTGTTTTCAGACTGAGTTTGACTTACTGTATTTTATGTATAAGTATTTCTCCATTCCTCTCTCCCAGGAATGTCATGATGAGTCCGCAGTTCTCTGGCTAGATGAGATACAAAAAGGAATCAATGATGCTAATAGGAATATAGAAAAAGCAGCAAATTGTAAGTATCAACCTGAATCTACATTGAAATACCATTTTTTCAGGATAAAGAAAGATGAGATTTTGAACTCTTTTTATTCATGTACACTTCAATATGTTGGCTAGGTTAAGTTACAGTTAATTATTTTTAGGAAACAAAATATATTTTTTTCATTACAGTGAGATTGAGTATGATTAAAATAAGAATTAAATGTAAAATAATGTAATTATATTTATCTAAAACAGTTGTCCTTGTATCTTACTTAGTAATTTTGGAAATCAGTATTACCCAAGGTAATAGAAGAGCAAAGATTTCAAATGCTGATACATTTTCACAGCACTGATGAAATACAGTATATTAATAAATCTCCCTTGCATAGATATGAAAATAGATTCAAGGAGGGAATGAGACAAGTGAAGCATTTCATGTAAGAGATTTTGCTTGTTTGACAAGTTTCTATGTGGTAATAGAAAACATTTGAAAGGAGTCCTGTGTATAAGTCTAAGTCCTGACCTATGTTGCAAGACTGAATTCCTACATGGTTACGGTCTTGGTTAGTCAGATTTCTTATTTCATAACAACGCCTCTTAACAAATGCCAGTAAATACTCCAACTTAGTCACATGTCCTTAATTTTTCAAAGTACTAACAAAAAATTTGTTTTGTTTTGTTTTTTTGTGGCAAAATGACGATTATTCCAATTCATGATGCACCAGTTTGCTTTAAATCTGTAAGAAGATAGTAGCATAAGAAAAGTTGGTTATCCTATTGACCCCAGAGTATGTATAATGTCAAAACTTATTAGAAGACAGAGTACAAACAAATCTGAAGAGTTTATAAATACAGTAACTCCTCACTTAACATTGTAGTTATGTTCCTGAAAAATGCGACTTTAAGTGAAATGATGTTAAGCAAATCCAATTTCCCCCAAAAAAGAATGTAAATGGGGTGGGGGGTTAGGTTCCAAGGAAAATTTTTTTTTTGTCCATACAGTACAGTACAGTACTATAGTTGGGAGGTGCCCCCGCCTTACCCCACACAGGCACAGCTCTCCAAGTACTGGCACTGGAGACAATGAGGCAGGCAAGGAGGCTGAAGGTGCTGTAGGGTAGGAGGCGCATGTTGCATGACGGCAGCTTCCCCTATTCTGCAAGCAACAGGGGTGGGGGGCTCAATCCTCAGCCCGCCCACGCCACCCTTTCCCCCAAGCCCTCACCCTTAACCCGCCTCTTCTCCCCCCCTCTTCCCCCTTTACTCCACATGCCGCGTCCTCGCTCCTCTCCTGCCCACGGCAGTCAGTTGGCTTGCAGCGTTCAGGAGGGAGGGGAGAGGAGCGAGGACACTGAGTGCAGGCTCCCCCTCCTTCCCCTGCCCCTTGAACGCCACAAGCCAGCTGATTGCCATGGGCAGGAGGCAGCGGGGAGAGGGGGAGGCGCACCGCGTCCTCGCTCCTCCCTACTTCCTCCTGCCCACGGCAATCAGCTGGCTTGCGGCATTCAGGGGACAGGAGAGAGAGGGGAGGAGCGAGGACATGGCGCTCAACCTCCCCCTTCCCTGCCGCCCACGGCAATCAGCTGGCTTGCGGCATTCAGGGGACAGGAGAGAGAGAGGGGAGGAGCGAGGACATGGCGCTCAACCTCCCCCTTCCCTGCCGCCCACGGCAATCAGCTGGTTCGCAGTGTTCGGGAGGCAGGGAAGGGAGGAGTCTGCGCGCTGAGTCCTCGCTCCTCCCCCCTCCCTCCTGAATGCCGCAAGCCAGCTGATTGCCATGAGCAGGAGGAGGGGGAAGGCGCTGATCCACGGGGTCTGTCGGTGGTGGGAGGCGCTGGGGGGGGCGTAGGGGACCTGATGGGGGGGCTGCCAGCTGTGGACAAAGCAGGCAGCCAAACGACGTTATAGCGAAGCATTGCACAACTTTAAATGGAGCATCTTCTGTAACTGAGCAGGGACATAAGATCAAAACAACATTAAGTGGGGAGTTACTGTACATGTGCAAACTGTCCAGGAATTCCAAATCGAGAATGCTGCACAGTAGTGAGAGACTCAACTGAAAACAAGAGCATCGGTTTTCTGACAAGCATATGGAAATGCTATGTGAGAAATGTCTTGAGGAGGGGGCTCTTTATTTACTGTTTTATTCCTGAATGTACAGAATGTGCAGAAAAAAGCCTTTAATTTAATCAAATAAAAAAAATAAAATAAAAGGCTCAAATCTCTTGGTAATGTGAAATGCACTTTGGTCGCTATTTGGCACAGTAAATTCCTTACATTCAAACTTCCTCCAGCCTAAGAGACTTAAATGGCATTTTAGGGTGTAAGCTTTCATATACTTAGATAGTTTTAGTTAATATTTTTACCTAATGCTTGCACTATTTTCACTGACATCACAGAAAGGCTTAATTTATTCTGATTTGTTCTGTACTTTTGTGGTTGATAGAAGTACTGTATCTAAAGCTTTCATATATTAGCTCAGTTTAGCTGATTACTATAATTTTAATACTGAGTGTATCAAAAGAATAACTTCTAAATATTTT